CTGAACCGCAGAAAAGTAAACTCGATGAACGCATTCTGCATGCTAAGCCGCTACCTCCATGCCGGAGCCTGCAGTTTTTTCCTGATCTCCACACCGAGGTGTCGAGATCGTGGAAGAAACCATTCTCGGCCCGCTTATTCGTCCCCGCCTCTGATTACTATGGAAATGTGGCGGGGGTGAGTGAATGCGGTTACAGAGCGATGCCCCAGGTAGAGCAGACCCTTTTGCGAGCTATCTGTCACCCGGTGCGGCTTAAACCAGATGACATCTTAGGACTGAGGAGAACCGCTGATTTAGCTCTTCGCGCCACCAAGGAGACCGCCCGTGCTATTGGGCGGTCCATGGCAGCTCTGGTGGCAGCGGAGAGGCATTTATGGTTGACCCTGTCCGATATGAAAGAGAAGGACAGGTTCTGCCTTATGGATGCCCCACTTGCGCCTTCTGGTCTGTTCGGCGACGCTGTCGATTCCGTCGTCGACCGATACCAGGAGGCTCGTAAACAGGCGGCGGCATTCCAGCGGTTTCTCCCTCGCCGTTCTATAGCTCTGGGGGCTGCTGGGCGGGAGCAGCCCCAGCCGGGTACCAGCTCCTCATATAGGGAGGTCCAAAAGCAGAGCGTTGCCTCTCACGCTCCCCCGCAGCGGGACCGAGGACGGCGGCACTCTAAGTCGGGGGCTTCTAAGGCGAGGCCCGATCTGAGGGTCGTGCTTCAGTCGAGGAAGCCCTCGACGAAGCGGTCCCTCGGGGAACCATGGTTACATACGTAACCTGGGACGATCTCAATGTTCTGCAAAGCAAAACGAAAGGTTTTTAGCTATTAGGGGTTGTATTATAGATGAATGTTTGGATATTGTGTAGAAATGCTCTCTAGATTGTTCTAAAACTCTTAAAGGTACAGTAGCAAAACATTTAAATTCTAAATAACAGTTTGGTGCAAGAAACCTTGAGTAACCTTAAAAAATGACTTCAGAGCAAAACAACAGTGTGGAATATGACTCATTTAGGATCAATATGAAATGTGCCTCTATTTTCTTCGTCTGTGTCAGCAGCAGAGCACTGTGTTTCATCAGTTCATCAGATCACATCACAGAGTCCTGATCTCTGCGGTCATGCAGCTGAACCAGCAGAAAGTGTCCGTCTTGTATAGCTGCAGAATTAATGATAAACGAGTACAGGAATCACCTCAGCTCTTTATTCAGAGAGATAAACCCGGGCTGGAAAAGTTAGCAGAATTTATTCACCTCCTTCTGCCGTAGTTCAGAATCAATGAACGGAAAGACCAGCATGACCCTAATATTTCACCCTCATATGGTGTGTTTTGGATGCTGATGTGCTCATTCTTATTCTTCTTACATAAATAGCTAACTAAACAAGCTGCATTTTGCATGTAAAACCATTTGACTCAAAATCTAAGTGGGCCTGTTTAAGCAAAAACTGGAGATGAAGGGCAGTGGAATGGACTGGGAGTCTAGAGATTAGTTTTTTTTTGTTTTTTTTTTAAGTTGAACTACTTGTGTTGTTGTGTCATGTCCGAGATGTTTACATAGAAAACACAAATGCAAAACGCGCTTTGTGTGAACGTCCCCCTAGACTCTAAACCATGAAAAAAAAATGGCTTGTGTCTCCAAATCGAATCAGAAAACACTCTTTGCCTTTTTCTTTGTGTTTGCTGACATAAGGTTGGCTGACGTATCTTGGGAGCACCTTTGCTCCATTTAATTTCTCTTGAAACAGGCCTCACAAACAGGAAATGTCTCACCTTGCTGAACGTGAGAACAAAAACACGCCTTACTCTCAAGAACAAAGTTTTTGACTGAAGTAAATTGACACTGACTCCTTCAGACACAATGTTAGCAATGCATTGCAAAACAATAGCGTGGTGTATCACGCGGTTATAGAGGAGCATCATGGGTTTCTCACACCTGAAGCTTATAATGTTGTTCCAGTAGTCACCATGTTAAGGAAAGACTACTGGAACAACATTATAAGCTTCAGGTGTGAGAAACCCATGATGCTCCTCTATAACTGCGTGATACACCACGCTATTGTTTTGCAATGCATTGCTAACATTGCAATGCATGTATGCATTGCTAACATGCATTGCAGTGCATTGCTAACATTGCCAAGAAAGAAGGCGTTATGGTTGTATTTTGCAGCTCTCTGTAACAGGAAAGCCAAGTTCATCTACAAGTTCAACCATAAGGGCTGCAAGTGTATAATATTTCCAACTATTCCAGATGAAATTGGTTTCCAAATTGTGATTTTGAAGATATTTGTTTGAAGCCATGAGGTGTAATTCAAGAGGTTAAAAAAATGGCTTTTTAACACAAGCTTTCTCTCTCTCTTTAGCTTGTCCTCCGGGAACGTTCAAGTCCAGTCAAGGGACAGGTTTGTGTCTTCAGTGTCCGTCCAACAGCAGGTCCACATCTGAAGCCGCCACTATCTGCGTCTGCAGGAATGGCTACTACAGAGCAGACGGAGAGCAGCCAGACATGCCCTGCACCAGTGAGTCATTATAATGATCATCATCATATTACTGTTATTGTCATTATCATTAGCATTAAACTGAAGCGGTCAGGTCATAACATCGTTTCAGAAGCAGTTTGAGAGCACAAGTCTGCACCGGCAGTAAGTTGTGAACCAAACCGAGCCTGCTAATGAGATCTTATGAGCTGACCTGACCAGACACATCATGCCCATTCAAGCAGTTGCATAATTAGTTGCATTACTTGGATTTACATATGTCTTTCTTACAGTATGTGTCTCTTTATTCACATTCATGAGGAAACCATTCTGTTTTTGTGGGGTTTTTGTTTCATATGAAACAAATTGAATCCATTACTGAGAATCTGTGAGGCTTACAAGACTGCTGTTTACACACACACACACACACACATACACACACACATACACACACACACTTACCTAAAGCCCTGCAATTAAATTTACAGTTCTCATGTATAATTTGAGCAATAGTTCTCCCAAATCTTCAGTCAGAAATTCAGTGCCGCAGAGAAAGTTTATTCTTGGACGCCTGCATTAATATGTTTATTTGTTTCCAAAAACTTTGAACATGCTGAACTATTTTCATTTCCATTTTTAACTACTTCTGGGTCATTATTTGTTTACTCATTATTTACCTGAATTAGAATCTGCAATCTTTATTTTTTGATTGTGTCCATCTCTCTCAGAATTAATTTTAAATTATTTATGCAGATCACATTATTGGAGCTTAATGCTAAATAATCACAGTTCTCACCGATTTTTTTTGTTTGTTTTTGTTTTTTAATAAAGAATGCTATTGGTTTCTTTAATATAGAGTGTTCTTAATATTTTTTATCATATCCTGATTATTATACACCAATGCATTTTGCTAGTATTTTTTTTTACAACTTCGAAAAATTATGTTTTAGTGTGGTCACTATAGATCAATAGGCATTTAAAAATTTGAAATATTATCTTATCTTAATTATAGTATTAAAACTCTACAGTTGCATTATTTGTGGCTGTATATATAGCATTACATGGTTTCTCGTACCTTATTGCTGAATTGAAGCCGTATGAGACCGCACTATAAAAGTGGCTTTTTGTGTTTGCAGTCCAGAAGAGTGCACGCTGTATTTGAAAGTCCTCTCAGCATTTGAATTCACCATTTAGAGTCTAAAATGGCGTTCAGTGAAACATATACAGATGGCAATTTGCAATTTAGCCCAACACCTGCCCTGAGGAAGGCCTGTGCTAGCACCTGGTCATTTTAGTGTCTCAGACAGTGAGAAAATGATTCAAAATGACTATTTCTCTATGCAATACTGCTTGAAATTGCTTACGGAGTGTCTAGCAGTTACATGGAGACTTTAAAAATATGGGAAACCAGTCTGCGATCTGATTAACATGATGATTGATTGCTGAGAGAGAGCGAGAGAGAGAGAGAGAGAGAGAGAGTTCACAGGAATCTGTCATGTACTGAATGACATCATCTCAACCTCAGTGAGAAGAAAACACCATCTCTTCCATTTCTAGCACTTTTTGTCCCTTCTTTCAGCTCCTCAGGGGGTTGAGTGGACGGCTGTCTCACTGTACTCCTGTCTCTCTCTCTCTGGGGTCTCGTGGTTCTCTCTGCGGGACTGGTCCGAATCGCCTCGAGCCTCCATCAGAACTTAAATTATTTCCTCAGAAATGTCTGCTGGGAGTGTGTGTGTGTGTTGATGGCTGACAGCTCACTGGTTAATTGGACAGCACCGGACAGCACACTTCTCAAGATTAATTCTCCAGGAGCTATGTGGCGACCAGCTCTGTTCTGGGGTTTGTGTGCGTGTGTAGATAGAGCATTCTCTCTAGTGTGTGTGTTGATGGCTGACAGCTCACTGGTTAATTGGAGGAAGCCGGACAGCACACTTCTCAAGATTAATTCTCCAGGAGCTATGTGGCGACCAGCTCTGTTCTGGGGTTTGTGTGCGTGTGTAGATAGAGCATTCTCTCTTGGATTTAGCTGTTTCGACTGGCCGAGCAAGAGCAGAACTTGTTATCTGGGGCTTGGTTGGCGACAAGTCTGGTTTCGATGCAGCTAATGCGTCTAGGTTTACACGGAATGCTGGTTGCTGTGGAAGTATGTGAACGTTTTCTTGGCTGTACTTTGAGAAGAAAATTGTCCCCAAAAGTGAGCTAAAACTAACAAAAGCTTCATTTGGGACTGCCCAAGAGCATCCTCAATTGGAAAACTGATAAATAAATAAAAAATTGTTTGTTTAAAATATATTTATTAGAAAAATAGGCAACAATATTTAATAATAATAATAATAATAATAATTATTATTATTATTATTATTATTATTGTTATTATTATTATATTGTTGTTGTTGTTATTGTTGTTATTATTATTATTATTGTTTATTCATTTAATATTATAGATTTTTTTTTCTTTCTTTTCTAAACATGCAGCTCTTTTAGGGGTACTGTAGGGATGTAGGTAAGGGTTAGTCTGTTGACATTATAATTAGTTTTATATAAAAACAATACAAGTCTATTACTTGTCCTCAGATAAGCATATGTGTGTGTACTGTATGTGTGTGGATGAAGCATTCTTTCTTGGATTTAGCAGTTTTGTTTGGCCAAACAAGAGCAGAACTTGTTATCTGAGGATTGGCTGGCCAACAGAGACCAGTCTGGATTCGATGTAACTAATATGTCTAGGCTTATATGGAACGCTGGTTACTGTGTTTGATTGTTGGTTTATTTAGCTATTCCTTTGGTGCAAAATTGTTGCAAAAGTTAGCTGTATCTGATAAAATCCTGGCTTTAGGGGTGTCATGGGACATAATCAATTGTAAATAAATTCATGAAGTAAATGACCTGCAGGAGTCAGTGTTGTGTGTACAGGTGCAGTGAACAGGACTGTAAAGCAGTGTAATTGCTTTGCTGCTGTTAATCCTCTGCCAGCAACGTCTGATTCTGCTATGAGCTTAATACTGTGTACACACACAACACACACTCCCGCTCTCTTTCTTCTGCAGCCCGCTTGTCACACAGTGCCACAAACCATCACGCACACATAAACGGATGTGCACACACACACACACACACACACACACAGAGGCCCTAAAAAGTCAAATGTCTGCAAACAAATGATACTAGAGCTTTCCTCAGACCTATCTTCACTTTTCCGAGCCATTTGTTGCAATGATTTTTAGTGGATGCTTGAATTCAGTTGACCTAGAGTGTAATTGTATTTACATTACTTATCTCAAATTTTGAATTAGCTGAAGTTTGCCTATAAGTACATATTTTTAGTTTCCAAATGTTGTGGATTCAGTTCCTGAATAATAAATAGAGCATATTTTCAGCAAGTGTGCAGTAGTGGACTGCTAGCTTTCTCATTAGTGCTGTTTCACTCATTAATGTAATTTCATATCTGTTGAGTGCCATCTTATAAATGAGTTCACCGTTTAAGAAGGGGCAAAGAAAAGCTCTTTTCTCTATCGTTTACTAATAAACAGGCTTATTCCAGTCTAAAATACATTTAAAATCATGTTTTGGGAGCTAGGACACATTGTAAATGTGCAAAATTCAGAAACTAGCAATTTATTAACTACAACATCATGTTCATAAAAAAGATCCTTCTCAAATGACAAGGATCATAGTTTATAATATATAATCAGTATCATGTATATACTCCAATTCTTTGTATTATTTATGTTGAAAACAGTTTTTGTGATGCTTAATATGTCTATGATCCTTTTTTTCCCCCCAGGGTTTTTAAATTTTGTGGAAACTGCGATACATTCTTTTTTTTGATTCTTTGATGAATAGAAAGTAAAAAAAAACTTTTATTCTGAAAGCAATGCATCCTTTTTGAATAAAAGTATTTTTATTTAAATGTATATGCATTTTATTGATATTTCTGTAATACTTTTTCTACTTTTCTATATTTTTTAAATAAATAGTAAATTAATAAGAACAGCAATTATTTGCCAATAAATAAATAAATAAATAAATAAATATATATATTGTAACATTATAAACATTCAATTAAATGTGTCCATGGTGAATAGAAGTATTACTTAATATTTCTGTGATACATTTTTTTCAGGATTTTAAATTAATAGAGTTAATAAGAGCTACATTTATTTGAAATAGAAATCTTTTGTAGCATCATAAGTGTTTTTAATGTCACTTTTGATCAATTTAATTGGTCCTGCCTGAATAAAAGTTTTAATTTCTTAAAAAAAATTTAAAAAAATCTGACCCCAAACCTTTGAATGATAGTGTATAATCGCTTAAGATCGGAATTGCATCATGAAGTACTCCACTGAGAAAACTGAGAAAAAAACTAAATAAAGATTGTGTAGCTTTTTGTTTTAAGTGTTGTAAAACAAAACCAATTTATCCTCATCGTCCAAGACAGGAAGTGGTAGCAGTCGTCTGGTTGGCCTCTTGCCAGTGTGTCTGAGCGAGAGAGAGTTAAATGTGCAATAAATCCAGCAGCAGAAGCAGCAGCAGCCAGTCGATTCCTTATCATCCACATGTCCATTTCCAGATTAATCTCCTCATGTCTGTCACTGGTCCTCAGTGTGTCTGTCTCGCTCATCCTCACATCTCTGATGCTTTGATACTCACTCACAGGATTTGGTTTTAATCTTGTAGAGAGCATCGCAAACACAGTGTGTGTGAGCTTGAAACTGCAAGAAGTTGATGGTGTCTGTATTTCATTAACAAAGGTAACATGTTAGAAAACTCTTTTTTTGATATTTGGAGGAATCTCTTCAGTCAAACCTCCATAGTTGTCACGTAGATTGAAAATGTTGAAAGCAAACAGAAAAAAAATTAAATACCAAGTTAAAAAATAAATTAAAAAGACATGTTTTCATACTATTCAACAAGAAGTTATTGTTATTAAATTCAATATTTGCCAATATGTATTTATATAATAAATGAATATGCCATAATAGAAGTCATTAGATTTACTTATTCTCCAATTTACACTACAATTTAAACATTTGGGGTTAGTAAGAGTTTTTAAATATATTTGAAGGAAGTCTCTAATGCTCACCAAGGCTGCATTTATTTAATCACAAATACAGTAAAAGCAGCAATATTGTAATACATTATAATAATTTAAAATAACTACATTTTCTATTTGAAAATATTTTAAAATGTAATTTATTCCTGTGATGCAAAGCTGAATTTTCAGCAGTTAATTTTGACAGCAAATTTTGATTTAGTTTTAGTCATAGTCTTTTGACTAAAATGCCATTGAGTTTTAGTCATATTTTAGTAATCTGAATTGTTTTTAATTTTAGTCTAGTTTTAGTCAACTAAATATCATAAGATTTTAGTCAACTAAATCTACAGTAAATTTAGTCGGCTAAAATCTAATAGGTTTATTTACAGTGCATTTATTAAGCATTTCTCTAAAATTTCCAAACTCATTATATAGGTTTGATATTAAGGTTTTATCATGATAGACACCGATTTAACTGCGGTGACACAGTGACACGAAAATTATGACAAAAATTATTCGTCAACGAAATTAACACTGATTTTCAGCAATTTTGTGTGTGTGTGTGTGTGAGAAAAAAGATAATTTAAAGCCATTATTCTATTAAACGAGAAAAGTGTCAGGTAGACATTAAAAACGTAGCTTTAGAAAGAAATATTTCATTTGATTCAACATAAAATTTATTACACAAACGTTTCGGCTACAAAATTGAGCAATTGTTTGTTTATATATACTATGCAGTATGCCAGTTTATATCAATATAAAATGAAATTCATCAAGACTGCACCCACTGATAGCGCGATTAATTTGCACACACTGTCTGTGTAGTTTTAGCACCCCATTCAATAAAGGAATTATACTAATCGGGTATTTGTGATAACGGGCCCACAAAATTAGTGCTTATCACAGTGGGGCGATTCCCTATTTTACAGGCTGTTTCTGAATGCTTAGTTGTGGAGGATGCTGGAGATATACAGTAAGAACCGGGCCGACCTCATCGGTACAGAACTACAACAGTGTCATTCTGTAATGCAGAATAATCATATGCAAAATGCCATCCTGCAATGGTGGTCTTTCTTCGAGAATGCACACACACATACAGTATAGCATACCAGGAGGTAAACGTACAGTATGAGTGCAGTTGTGCATATGCTGTCATTTATAGTGGTGTTTGTGCATGTGTGTATGTAGTGAAGTTGCTCTTAGTGTGTGTGGATTTCCTCTGGGAACCGGCTAATTGTGTTAGAGCTGGCTGTATCTCATGGCCTCATTCTCTTCACACACATCTTCTGGCCTAGTTCCAGATATGGCCCACTTCCTCTTTTTTCACTTGCTCTTTTTCTCCTCCCGTCTCTCGCTCTCTGCCTTTTTCCCTCTGCCTTTCTTAAGCCTGACTGTGAGATATAGTGAGTAAGACATCTTTGCTGCCGTAGCACCTAATCAAACAGTGTTTGGGTGTTAACTGTGGTGTAAGCAAAGCCTCGCTGTTTGGATAGTGACCAGCTCACTGTCTGAATGAAACACTCCCTGCTAACAGAGCAGAAAGAGCCGCTGCTTTATGGACCCTCACGGACCTTTTGAAAATATCTGTGGCACTGTTTCCTGAATAGGGCAGAAAATACAGCCTGTGACTATGAGGAACTTTTTTCTCCTTTTTCAGTGTAAAAAGTGAATGGAGTCAGTGGAGGTGCTTTACCTTTTGAAAATGTTGATTATTAACATCAGGAAGTCAAATTTAAAATGTAATTTTCTTTTAATTTTCTGTGGGGTTTGACATTGCTGCTACCTTCCAAATTTGGGACATAATTTAAAAACCTTTTTTGTTTTGTCTTGTCTTGTTCTGCTTTGTTTTGTTTTTTTTGGCAGTTATTTTACTTTTGTTTTGTCAGCTTTATTTTATTTGTCAGCTTTACTTTTGCTTTGTTAGCTTTTGTTTTGTTTATCTATCTATCTATCTATCTATCTACCTATCTATCTATTGATCCATCTATCGTTCTATCTATCGTTCTATCTATCTATCTATCTATCTATCTATCTATCTATCTATCTATCTATCTATCTATCTATCTATCTATCTATCTACTATCTATCTATCTATCCATCCATCCATCCATCCATCCATCTGTTGTTCTATCATTCTAACAGTCATATCCACACATCTATGTATCCATCCATCTATTAACACACACACACACACATATATATATATATATATATATATATATATGTGTGTGTGTGTGTGTGTCTGTACATTTGTGTGTATATGTATGTGTGTAGCTGTCAGAAGTGTTCTGTTCAAGTTTAAGCCTCCTGATTGGCTAATCATCAGGGTCGCCAGAGTTCGAGGTCAGTTCTGTCATCGGCTCTCCCAGTTTAGGATCCCAGTAGCCCCTGATCTATCCCACAAGGCCCTGCCTTCACAATAGCTCATTGTGTCTCGGTCTGAGTGAAATCATTCTTCTCTTGCTTCAAGAGCTGGAACGTCTCCTGGCCAGGTTTGATGTTTCAAGGAGAACTCACTCAAATGTTCTTGTGGAAGTGGCTGGTCACGAAAATCAAACCTAATATCCGTTCCAGAGTTTTTCCTGGCTCTCGTCTGGTTCTGTTGCGGTCTATAGCTAACATCACAACCTTTCCGTGATCTGTAAATCCTCAGTTCCTGGCCGGATGTTCTGCGCGCTGGGGGGAGTCATTGCTTTATCAGAAACACAATATGTTTTTTCCCTGCGGCTCTATAGTGGGAAGGCGAATGTGTAGGAATGAATCCAGGAGGTTGGGATAAAGAGACTTTACTAAAACCTTGTTTTTATCCCTTATTCTGACTGGCGATGAAAAGCCACTCTCAGTGTTGAGTTAGTGGGCTGATGTACGGCCGCTCGGGGGCCGCCACTCTGCATGGCAATTATAAACAGTTACACATCGCTCTGGGACCGCAGATAAAAGGAAACGCACAACACAGCTCCATTCTGTAAGACTTTCTAGAAGTCGACTCGAGTAGAAAATGTATATTTACTGTCACATATCAACAGCTGACTTTTAGCTCAAGTGAAAAAATAAGAATAGTTGTAATTAAATGCCACAGGGAATTGAAACATTAATAGCTGAGAGACAGTTCAAAAGTTTGGGATCAGTAAAATATGTAATGTTTTTAAGAAAACTTTTATGCTCATCAAGGTGGAATTTATTTGATCAAAAATACAGAAAAATAGCAATATTGTGAAATATTATTTTAATTTAAAATAATGGTTTTCTATTTTCATATACTTTAAAATGTATTTTATTTCTGTGATGCAAAGCTGAATTTGTATCAACCATTACTCCAGTCTTCAGTCTCACATGATCCTTCAGAAATCATTATTTACTTACCATCATGCCATGCCAAACCTTTATGACTTAATTTCTTTCATGAAGCACAAAAGAAGTGGACTAAGAAGTGGTTCATACAGACCAGATTTAGGCCTTTTTTCATAAATCTTGGCAGTTTGAGAGAAGCAAAGATGATTTGTGAATCACTTAAGACTGATCTTTTCAATGAGTCGGCTGATTCTGTTCAAGTGATTCATGCACTCACGAATCAAACTGATTCTGTTCTTCAGTTCAGCTTTATTTGATTCAGTCATCCAAGTAGATAATCAGTTAAAAATGGTGATTGAAATTTTAGTCTGTTTGTCATAATAGCTATCATATGACTTCAGAAACCTTGGAAATGTAGCTACAGTGTATAACTTGTATAGGGTAATTTTTAATAATTTCATTTTTTTTAAGCTTCAAAGCTCTAGTCTCCATTCTTTGTAGGCTAATCGCATGAACAAGCGTGACCAGTACACTTCTCTTAAATTTCACCTTTTGTGTTCAGTGGAGGACAGAAAGTCATATGGGTTTGCAGTGACGTGAAGCTGACTAAATTATAGCAGAAGTTCATTTCAGGGTTAAATATTCCTTTAAGAGGAGAATGAAAATGCTAAAATGATTTTCATTTACTCATGAAAGAAAAGTGCTCTCATTCTTGTATGCATTTTCTCATGCTTTAATTATTTCACTGCGGTAAGCATATCATGCAATTATATGTCTTCTAAAGGCATTAGTTTTTCAACTCACAAAATGAATCTAAAAAGAGTCATTTTCTATTATTCAAGTGTAAAAAGTGTAATTTAATAAAAAGCCATTGTAAGACTTGTAATTACAGCACTGTAATTACAGTAATGTAATTTAAAGAGCCTAGACAAATGCAAATTATATCCTTGCTGTTATCATTTCTTTAGCAGCAACATTTTCATAGTTTGCTTGGTGAATCTCACGTGTCTTCATACTTTCTCATCAGGTGTTCCTTCTGGACCAAGAAACGTCATCTCCATTGTGAATGAGACATCTGTGACTCTGGAGTGGCACTCTCCGCGCGAGACAGGCGGCCGTGATGATGTCGTGTATAATATTATTTGTAAAAAATGCCAGGCGGACCGTCGTTCCTGCTCCCATTGCGATGATAACGTTGAGTTTCAGCCCCGGCAGCTGGGACTGACCGAATCCAGAGTCTTCATCAGTAACCTGCTGGCACACACTATCTACACCTTTGAGATCCAGGCGGTCAACGGCGTCACCAACAAGAGCCCGTATCCTGCCCAGCATGTCTCCATAGACATCACAACCAACCAGGCTGGTGAGTGATTACTTTATGATAAGATTATGCTTGATTAAACAAGCTTATGCAATCAATGCAGTCCACAGCAGTAACAGAAAAACCATGCTAATGAAGAACCAGTTTAGACTGGTATACGTTCCATGTTTAGCATTGAACAGTGTACAAGCTAGTCAAGATGGTTATTGTTGGAGATGCAATGTCTTGACTGGTTCAGTATTTTTATTGGTTTAAATGGTTTAATTGGTTTTTATTGGTCTTGATTTAAACTAGTTTAGGTGTTTTTGCTGTTTTTTTGTTTTGTTTTGTTTTGTTTTGTTTTGTTTTTTGTTTTTTCTACCAGTGAAAATTTAAAAGGAAAAGTTTGAAAAGAAAAGGTTTAAGAGGCAAAGAGTGACAGGTGTCTTGTGTGATTGCAATATGTTTTTGTAATATTTTAGTGACATAGTAATCTTTAGTAAAAAAAAAAAGGTTGAAAGTTCCCTCCATCATCAACTCCTGTTATCGTTTTATATATTTTTTTTATTAATTTTTATATAGTAATATTTATACAGTAATCATTACTAATAGTGTGTTTGTGTGTGCATATATGTGTGTATATATAAACACACACATATACACACATACTATTAATAATACTCTTTAGTACAAAAATTTTCACATTTCTAAAATTATGAATGTATGCTGTTTCATAATTTTTATTTAATTTTTGTATTTATTGTACTTTATAGTAACTGTTTGAATTTTTCATATATATGCATGCTATTTTTTAAATGTTATATATAGTACAGTGACATGCGAAAGTTTGGGAACCCCTTGCAGAATCTGTGAAAATGTGAATAATTTTAACAAAATAAGAGAGATCATACAAAAAGTTTCAAACATTCACTGATGCTCCAGAAGGAAACACGATGTATTAAGAGAATTTGAAGAATTCAAGGTAAATTGTACTTAATTGTAACTTTTTCTTTAACCAATACCATTGTGCCAGAAGAATGTTTTTCCCCTTTTTACGTTCTGTCACATACTTATATGCATTTTGACCAGTTATGTTTCTACTTTCTTTACATTTTCATTACCTTGACCAATCTAGTTTCTCGTTTCATTCATGTTAAAAAAGGCTCCAAGTGGTCGTTTGGCCTCAATATCACTGATGGGATGATATTAGAAGAGCGAAGTGTTCAGTTTCAACATTTAGAGCTGCTCGCTGGACTGTGCAGGAAGTCAAAATTGAAAACATCACCTAGTTTGACCTGCGCTAAAAGATATGCGTCCTCATAATTTCCTTGAGAGCTCCTCTTTCAGTTTTTTGAGGGCAGCCCATCTTTCTCCATCTTTCTCCACCTCCTTCACTTCCCCTGTCATCTCAATTTCCTGCTTTCACTGAAAAGCTCTACAGAAGCATCACAGCAGTTGGTATGTTAAAAGTTTGTGCGGATCTCGCCGGGACGCATTTGTCTGGTTCGACGCTTTCATCTTTATCAGCGGGACCAGTATGAAAAACAGCCTTGATCATGTCACTATTCCTTAATACATTCAGCCCTGAAATGAGGGCACCCAAAACTGTAGCGCTGAGAGTTTAGCGGCTTCCATCGTGGCCCCCTCCCGGATCAAAGTCAACGCTTGTGGATAATTTAACGTGTGGGGGAGATTTTCATCCTCAAACTGTGGAAACGTTCAGTGCCAGCTATGAGACCAATTTAAGTTTCAGTGTACGGCAGTGTTTCGTCTCCTTTCTTCGTTTGTTTTTTTTCACAGCACAAGTGAAAATTTAACTAGACTTTTCAGTAGAGTGGTACTCACTCATGCAGAAGCACTTCCTGTGTGGTTGCTAAAGTTTTCTGAGTGTTTTTAACACATTCAGGTTAAAAGAGTCTATCCCAATATAATATTAGAATCTCTAGTTATTATTCAGGTCCATCTTATTGCTTAAAAAAGCACAACTCTACTCAAATCACAAAGTTTGAGGTTCATGTGTGTAACTTTGATACTTTGTTTTATGTTTGATTGAGATTTAATACTCAGGCATTCTGAAAAACCTTTTCTCTTCAAGAAATAGTTCCAAAAATCAAATACTTTGTTCTTCTTTGAAACAGAAAAGATATAGAATTTTTTTCCTTTTTTTTTTATTCTCTCTCTCTCTCTCCCCTCTTCATGAAAATAAAGTCAGTGGGGTCCAAACAATATTGGACCCCAATGACATTAATTTTATATATAGAATCCATTCGTTCGTTCGTTCATTCGTTCATTCATTCATTCATTCATTCATTCATTCATTCATTCATTCATTCATTCATTCATTCATTCAATTCATTCAAAATATCTCTTTTCTTCATCTTCTTTTTGGGTGACCGACCCCTTCTAACTATACAAAACAACTGCAAAAAAAGTTTTTTTTTTTGTTTGTTTTTTTTAATCGAAACAATAATTAATTAAAAAATGTTATATGGTATATAAAATAAGTTTTTGTCTTCATTTATAATTTATAAAATAGAAAAATTAGGCTTTTTTAATATTAATGAAAAATTACAGTTTAACACAGTGTAATGAATGTGTCAGCAGGTTACAACTTCAATACACGACAAGGCACAATGACAGCATGATGGCTACTTATAGCAGACAATGAGGGTCACATGGCAAGAACAAACCAATGGGAAACAAGGCACATGACTAAGACAACCAATCAGAAAACAGAACTGATAATCACATGACAAGACAATAACCAATGAGAACATGACACATACACAAGGAGGAGATACATGAGGGCAAGGGAAACATGACACTGACAGCATGAATCAAACAAAAAAATAAAAGACATGAAACAAACCCAAACACCACATTACATTTCCCCCCATCTAAGGGCGGCTCCAGACGCCCAAACAAAATCCAACAAGTCCAGGAGGGTGGTGGAGTGGAGGCGGAACTGGGGGAGGGACGGAGGGCCAGGCCCGTGAAGAGGAACAGGACCTGGAGTGTGGAGCAATGGCGGGCCTGGAGCTAGGAGCAGTGGTGGACCAGGATCATGGGGCAGATCCATAGGAGCATGGAGCCATGGCGGTGCAGGCAGAGCAGGGAGCCATGGCGGTGCAGGCAGAGCAGGGAGCCTTGGCGGTGCAGGCAGAGCAGGGAGCCTTGGCGGAGCAGGCAGAGCAGGGAGCCATGGGGG